CCCCCCCCCCCCCCCCCCAAAAAAAGCTGTGTGGCCGTCTGTTGTCCAACGTGTTGTCGGCAAGTGGTATCCTCCATCATCAACCTCATTGTTCCCTGTTTCAACACCTTGAACATTTGCCTCTGTATCACTTTACAACCTCGTCTCTTTTCTTTTGTGCTTCACACCATGGCTTCGGTCCAAGGTCCATCAACAATGTTTAATCTTTAGACCTCATAGCCGGTTGGCCCAAGGGTTGAGGGTTCCCAGCTTTCGGGTTCGTGGCACCGAGTGGAAACAAGGATTACTTGCACGTCGCAGGTCAAGGAGGACAAAATCTGGAGGAATAACGGAGGAGTGTTCCGCGATACCGGGTCCGGACTCCGATTCTTGCGGTCTGTTTCATGTGTGCAGTTAAACTTATCATTATTGAAGAGTGTTTCAGTGGCTGACACTGACTTGACACCGAGAAATTGGTGAATCAAGTGATGGGAACAGAGTCAAGAAGAAGAATCTAGTTGCAAGGACAGTATGGGCAGCACCTCGTACAACAAGAGCTGCCGGGGAAAGCGCAGCCTGCCTCCTTTAGTCCTGCTCGATTCTTATGAGTGAATTAATCTTCGATTCCTCAATTCCAACTTGATTTGCGCCTGTCAGCCCGTGCAGCTTGTCATTTCTCAACAACGTCGCCGTGCTGGGCTTCAGCCACTCGGGTGGGAGTCTCTTTATCTGACTCTGTACAGGTTATTTTTTTTGTTTTTTTCTCCTTTTTCCTTTTTCCCTCCTTTCAAAGGCCTTTTCTTTTCAGTTATGGACAAACGGGACATCTCAGCTCTTTTCACATCATCATGACAAATTCCATCTGTGACTGGGACCACATTCGTTGGGGATCCGTAGCATCTTTTCTCCCATGTGCGACAAGGTCACAAAATTCCATGTTTCATTAATGCCAACCCACACCGCCGATTGCTCTGATGTTGATACAATTGGTCCAATCCCGCAACCAACGCCTGTTCATGAGACTCAGTGCCTCGATTGGTACAAGTAGTCCTTCGATTTCTGTCAAGTCGGCAGACCTGGAGCCTGGAGCAAACGCGCGGAAAATACTCCATCCAGGGATCTGCTGTCATCCGCGTCGAACAATCCAAGTGCAAAATGTGCTGCCAGGTCCCTGGTGAATCCTGTGGCTGCAAGCCATTCAGCAAGAGCAGTATCAGAACTGATGCAAGTAGCAATTGAGCCCGAATGTGGGTCGACCTTAATCTTGGGCTCCATTTGTCGCATATTGATCATCATGAGGATCATCTGCGCAAAAGTCTTGCCCTTCTCTGCATAGTGTGCTGGTTTTTGATCAAGTGGCCACTTAACCTCTTGGCTGCGAAAATCCCAGAATCGATACAGCCAGCACATGCGCTCCACACAATTGAGCAAGACGAATGCAATCAAGAATGTTTCGAAATTGTTGCTCCCGCGACGGGACAAGACACGCTGTTCGAAGTGGTTCATGACACTTCTGCACACGATGCTGGCGCGTTTCTCGACCGCCGCTCGAAGCTGTAGGCTCAAGAGATGATGGAAAAACTCATTGGTCGTCTCGCTGATCAAAGCTCGTCCATCGCTAAGACCAGTGTCTGTTGCAAATGAAGCTTTCAACTTATGGTCGATGAGTATTGACGTTGCTACCCACAGTTCGATGACGTCTGAGACGAGATTATCCTGCTTCTCAGTGGACACGCTGCTTTGCTGGCGTTGTTGGATAGTCTGCGCAATCTGGAGACTTGCCCGCATGACAAGAGATGGTTCCTGATCCACGATTTTTGAGGAAATGGCCTGAAGATATCGCTCGACCTTTGGGAGCAGATTGTCCGTGTCGAGATCCATAACGACCATATCTTCTACCTCAATAGGGTATGGATGTCTGGTTGATGTCTCTGGCAGGGCGTCCGGGTCCGGTTGAAGGCCCTTCATTACAATCTTCTGGTCTGCGAAGTGGGAGCATTCAATCCTCCCGGGAAAGGATGTAAAACGCACTCGGGTCTTCAACATGTTGACTTCGTGATAGGCCAGAACTCCATGCAGCCCATGGAAGTAGAGTGGAAAGACCTCGCTGAGTCTGGTACGCACACAGGAATGCTTCCACAGGCGAGGACTTTCAACAGCAGCGCAGGTCTGACATGGTGTCTCTTGGGAGCACGTCTTCTTGAGCATGCGGCATCGCATGCAAGCACCAACTTTTCGAATTTCCCGGACTTCCTTACGGCGTTCAGGTGCAAACCTGCCACGAACCTTAGGCTTTGGGGCTTGTGAGAGCGGTTCTGCGTCCTCAGAGAGCGCATCTGGTTGTCGGATCGGGTTCATAGCAATTGGTCTCAAATGTTGGCTCACGGATTCACCGTTTTGTGAGGGTAAGCCGTCTATTGCTCTTGGAGGAAGGGTTGGCAGATCTAGTGCGGGGATAGGCTGAGTGGGAATGGCCAGCTGTTCCATTGGCTGTGTCCCAAGCATTGCCTGCCACGGATATGGTTGTCGACCCTGCGGAAAGCCATTCTCATGAAGTTCTCCGAGAAGTGTAGAAGGGACATCATCTGACATATCCAAATCGGTGTCCATAATAGAGCCATTGCCAATGGTCGCATGTGCTGTAGCTGCAATTGTGGGGAGATCTTGTGGATGGGTGCTAACAAGAGGAAGACCAGTCAAAGCGCCTTGAGGAGCTGGAGGTATATTGCTCATGTAATGGTAGAGTGGTGGAAGGCTTGCAGTCGTGCTAGCGGAGAAGGCTGAGAAAAGTAGATTAGTGTTTGGCCTTCCGAAAGATATATAGACGGTTTGAAAGGTAGACAAACCATTGTCACGATCATCTATACCATCATCATGGACGAGAGAACGAGAAAAGGCACCTGCCTCAAGCCGAGGATCAAGTGGTGCGTCTTCATGTGGTCGAGCAATCTGGGTAGGGTGACCATCTCGATCTATAGAAGTGGAACTAGTGTTGCCTCGCGCATTGCTACCAACACGACGAGAAGCCTCGGCGAGGACATTCAAGCCGTCAAAGTTCTGTTCATCCTGACCAAATGGCAATGTAACAGCAGCATTGCTGCGCTCGTCTTGCTTCGCCAGTGTTGGATCATTCTCAGCCGTCTGAGGGCTGTAGTTAGGGTCGATGTAAGGATGGACATCTGGGAGGGCCAGATCGTGAAGGCGCAGGATGATTTTGGTCCGCTCGGCATGAGACACAGCCGTGCACTTTTTGGTCAGATGAGTGACCATGGACTCAGTGCGGCCTCGCGAAAAGTGCTCTCCGCATCGTTTGCAGGTCTGTTCATAACGGTTCGAGGAATCACCGATCTTGGCACCGCGTTCAAAGAACTCCGCCATCAGCGGGTTGGGTCGTCGTCCCATGGTCACAGATTCTGCCGATCCTTGCCCAAGAATAGTCAGTGCGCTCCGCTGTCGTGCGGTACCAGAATCGACTCACGAGATTGGGCGATGGATGGGTGTCTCCGCCGGCGGGCAGAAAACAGACGACGCGGTTGGTTGAGCAGTGGATATTAGATAGTGATGTCGCGCAGAGATGTTGAAGGGATGGCGAGGTATTTGACGATGCCGAACCCCAGCCCACGGCTTCCCTGAAGACGCGAACTGGGATCAGTAGAGCGCCTTTGAGTAAAATGCCAACGACGACAGTGAGGAGGCTGTTTCCACAATGTTTACCAGGTGGCTTGCTGGGTGCCAGGCTGCGGAAGTGAAGTGAAAATGTTGGCAGAATTTTGTGGTCCCTAAGGCGGTGTTGTGAAAGTTAGGGCGGTGAGCCATTTAGTCTGGTCCCCTATTGGCAGGCGGCTGCTCCCGTGCCAAGCTCCGGCATGCGCCAAGGTGCCGAGTTCCCGAAGCCACCCTCGCCACGATATATCCCTTTCCACTCTTTTAACCACCGCACTTCGAGCACTCCACGTCCAATGTTGGCAAAGGCAATCGTGTTTGATACAAAAATGCTATGCATAATTACTTTGTCTTTGAAGTCGCCCCCTTCACACGTTCCTTTCCTCGGGCAGCCGGTACGGAACTCCAAGAATCTCAAAAATCCGCTTCTCGTCGTGCCCTTCGAGCAACGTCCCATCGTTAATTCGTTGTCGTCCACGTCCCCTCATGACGTCCTTGAATAATCCGTGCTGGTTCAGCCTCATCTGCTTCTTCCCTGCCAGGAACCTTATGCTCCGATTAAAGAGGTCGTTCCCCGTGAAATAGATCAATGCAGCTCCTAGCTCCGCCCATGGTACAAAGAGGAAGTCGATCCGGCGCCAAACATTAGAACCTGGCAAGGCAGATGCTCCATGCCACTTCGACGAGTCGTCATTCGAAAAATGGCCGCTAGCAAGTGCCACTTTCAAGAACCCTTGAACCATCAATCCAGGGATAACACCATCCAGCATCAGGCTACGGATATGGCTGATCCCGGCCTCGGGCATCTGCCGAATACGTTAGTCTGCTCCTCTATTTACAAATTCCTCCGAAAACAGTAACCGGTTTCCCAGGAAGAAGAGAACTCACGAAGATGATGCAGTCAATGTCCCCCGAATCTTTGCTGCCTCGTCTATAAGAACCTCCGATGATCAACTGAAGATTTGGATCTGCAGCTTTGAGAGCTTTCTCTACTATCGCAGCGTGCTGTTCGACCTCGCTGCGAGGGATCCTCTGCTGGAAGTCATCATAGTGCTCGATGCCCACCCGTTGATTTGCGTTCAGGTCGGCTTTCTCATAGACTTCTGCTAGACATCGATAACCTTGCGCTATCCACTTCTGGGCGGTTGTCTCGCCAGCGCCATACACCCCCATGAAGAGCTTGACAATCTGATTCCTGGGATCATTATGCGCGTACTCGAATCGTCTATATTTTCCAGTAGAGACAATTTCTTCGATCTGCAACGCAATGCTCTCGCCAATACCGACCGCACGAGCTTGATGACTGGTTCGAATCAACTCGCTTTGCTTCCGAAGTTTTCCTATTGCTTGCCGAAAAGCTCTTGGTCGCCATCGATCACCTGTTCGGTCATAGGATTTTGCCATCTCTTGCAGCTTCTGCATGGTTTCGGCATTCGGATTCTCGCTTTGGGTTTTTCCATCATGGCTTTCCATGCACAAAAATCCGGCGGCCTTCTCGGGTACTCTTCCATTGCTGTGTTCCTTGTTCAGGACGAGTTGGGATTCAGCTCCATCATCACTCCCAGAGTCATCAGAATCAAGATGCTGACCGGCGCCATTTTGGACATCCTTTATCGCAATATCGAGTGGATCTTCATCAATATTTCCTTCCGGTTTTGGCTTCAATGTCTTGGGGCCGGTCCCACATTCGCGGCGAAGCTGAACGTTACTGTCTGGTTCATTGGCAATCGGAAGCGATTTGTCTGCCCTTGAACCCTGAATGTTTGCTCTTCTGTCGATGCCAGGGGCAGCAATGCTACGACCTGGCTCTCTGATTGCATCTGAGCCTAATACTTGAAAGCGGCGCCAATGCGTTTCTACAAGAAATCCAGATTTCCAGCATTCAAAAAGCCACTTTTGGCGCAAAAGAACCGGACCCTTCTACGGCAATTGTCAGCGTTGCAATCGTGAAATGAAGTGGCCACAAACCGGAATCTGTTTCGAAGGGAAAGATTTGGCTACTACTGTCACATCGAGGTCGTCCTGAGTGACGATGATATGTGTGACTTCTTCACAGAACTTATGTGCCCACTGAGCGCCATACTGGATAGACTGGTGGATACGGATGCGGGCACCGGAATCGTCATCATTATTAGGGACAAAAACTGACGATGCATTAGCCAGCTGAAGGGCGGCCATTGGACATTTACCATACAGAATACAAGTCCTTTGAATATCTGTTCGTCAGGGGGGATGCGCCCTATCTTGATCCGCTTTGGTAAGGGCTTCAACCTGGGGAGCCCCCACCCTTTCATTCGTTCCTCTAGATTCGAGAGGTCTGTTATATTTCTTTTCCGCCGAGTCTTCATATTTCTGCATGGGTCCAGCACGGGAGAGGATGCCTTAGGGCGAGAAGATTGCAGTGTCAGACTCTGCTCAGGCCGAGGGATTGTTTGTGACAACTTCCTCTTCCGTTGGTTTCCATCCATATCGCCCCTATTTTTGGTTGGTTCGGTCCTAGGTGCCTTGGTATTGGGTATGGGGGGAGGCCTTTTGAGGGACTGTTTTGGCAAATCAATTTCCGTTTCGCCATCCGCATCGTCGAGAGTGTCTAGGTGATACAAATCCTTGAAGAATTGATCTTTTTCTTTCTTCTCTGAGGACAACATCTCTGGCATATGTCGACGGTGACATGGATTTGTCTGTTGTGGATGTGGGTTATTTCTATATACATTGCCGCAGGCAGTGCAGGTGGTGACAGGAACATGACTTCGCAGCTTGAGTCTCAATAACGGACCTCCCAGTGAATCAAGGCGGGGTGAGGTGGGACGAGCCGTTGTCCCTTTGTTGCTCTACCCATTCATAGCCGAACACGATACTGACGCGCTGTCACATGATGCCAAGCAATCTTTCTGTAGAGAGCTGAAGCTGCAGTCGGAGCCCTTACAGGTTCACACTCTCACACCTGAATAACGGTCGGGGGGTGATCAGAGGGGAAGCCGTCACTTCCGACCTTCAGTCTTTCGCATAATGGGCCGCAAGGATGTCCTCAGTCTCTTCATCTCCCTTACCCTACGCCCTCCTAGCCGTTGTCATTTCCGACTTCAAAATTCATCGCGCAATACATCAAGCTCGAATTCACCTAGGACGGGGGAAGCCCGAATCGAAATCAAGAAACCAACAATCCCCCTCCATGTAGGTCTGGACCGAAACCCTGAAAACCTCTCTGCTATTTCGAGAATTCCAATCCCACGAGGAGTAACGGGCGAGAAATTCACCCCCTCGGTCCTAGCCCGCCCGCTCGGTCTCGAACTTCCCCCACGACCAGGTCAAAACAGTCCCATTGACAATCGCACCCTCCGCGAAAGACACGAAGAATTCACAAGCTACGAGAAGGCCCTCGAGCGGCGGCGGGTCTACCTGCGGACTTTCTTCCGTCCCTACTTTCAAGAATGGCGACGGGTTGACCATTTTAAGGGGAAAAGTTTTGTCTCAAATGCTCGATTATTCAAGCGCGAAAAGGCACTTTACTTTCCGAACATTTGGGGCCAAACACTGGCCAAAGAAGGTGATGGACCTCAAGGCGGACGTGACACGACTCCCCTTCTGATGGGCAAGATCTCTGTTATCGCTATGCAGTCGGGCCATTGGGCGGAAGAACAGGTCGACACCTTCGTCAGCGTCAAAAATAACCCGGAACTAAACAAAATGATTGAAGAAAGCAAAGGTCAGCTGCAGAGAGTGGATATCAACCTTCAAGGTGACTGGATACGGGCCTTGCTCGTGAGAATGTTTAGTGGGCGTCTGAGAAAGACGATACCAGAAGAACGTTGGAGCAAGTACTTCATGATCAAATTGCCCCGCGATATTCGCCGCGGGCTTAATGACGAAGTGCGCGACGCGATGGGTCTCCTCAACTCTCAAGTTGGATATGTATATCTGGTAGACTCAAGCTGCAAAATTCGATGGGCAGGGAGCGGTCATGCATGGGAAGGAGAGGTTGAAGGTCTGAATGCGGCAGTTCGGCGACTACTTCAAGAGGAACAAAATCTAGGACAGACATCCTCCCGAAGTATAACAAAGTCCGTTACTCCAAAACCAAGAGCGCCAACGGCGGAGATCAACAAGTCGACGGTAACCACCAAGAAGCACAACGCCATGCCCACGGCTATCACAACATGATATCAATACCCATGGCGATTCCCAAAGCATCCCAATGCGGCGCCCCATCCCACGAAACACACGCGTTATTGCTCACAATTTTCTGGCCTTGTCCTAAATTTTCACGGCAGAGAATTAGCAATCCGTCACCCCATGAGGATACGCACTCTGGCATGTACCGTCAAAAGGGACACAAGGGGGCAACTGACCCACACTTCGGACATGGCTGGTCCGCCTCTGCCCCGTCCAGGATCTCATGTTGAACTTTACACTTCTTCAGATCCATCACTTTCACGCTGCCAGTCCCTAAAGGAGATTTCTTAGGACTTGATGCTTTGTCGCACATCGAGTGGACATAGTACGGTGCTGGCCGGGCTGTGCCGGGACAGCAACTGAAGTGGTAGGTGTAGTATATGCACATATCGTCCGAGGTCCGCGTCTGGAATTGGAGGTCTGCAGAAAGAGATGGGCGAGATGGCTGAAGATGTCTAGGGCGCTCTTTTCGGTCCGAGATTGAGAAAATTGGAAGAGTGGCAGAAGGGTCGACCCCCGGGTGTGGCAATTGAGATGAATCCGGTGAGCGCTGACAGTACCTATGGCCGCGTGTCTCTAGAATATGTTCGCAAGAGATGGTCTTGCACCCTGTTGTCGGTTGGGGTCTGGAAATCCGGTTCGCGATCTGATGCCAGTTCCGGTACGGACTCTTCTGCTGAGAAGAACTGGAGAGATTGATATTCCATATCCTTATATGCGCACGGGCGATAGTTTGCTTGCGCCGGCGACGTGGGCTTCTGCGCCGACTCTGTCTCACAGACTCATAAGGATCTCTATGCTCATTGTTCTCCAGAGACGGCGCCCAAATCCAATTGCAGACTTTCAAGGGTGGGTTTTGGCAGGGACGTTTGCAGCCACGCCGACAACCGTTTTCTTCTGTCTTTTTTTTTTTCGTATTGCCTTTGTTATGACGTTGAGAGTGGATCCAGCCCAGCCCAGCCCAGCCCAGGCAATGTTGAAGTCTGTGCAATTACGTACGGAGTATTTCAACAACGGCGGACCCGGAACAAGAGGGATATAAATCCAGGGTGTTGTCAACGGGTCGCCCGACGTCGAGAGAAGGTATGTATGGCGGGACACAAAAAGGTTCTAGTATTGAAAATAGGGAAAGGACGGATGATGTATGCAGGGCCGCATGGGAAAACAAAAAGCTAAGTAGTAATATGAATAGATTGGGAAGGGGACTGGGATTCTAAAGGCAAGGGAATGTATGATGAAACCCTCTGGCCAATCGCCTAATTACTCCACTTGTACAGGGTCCATTGACGGAGAGAGGGGGTGGGAGAAAAAAAAAAGAGAAAGATACAAGAAGGAGACGTGGATGAGGATGAGGACGAAGGAGCCTTGGACCTTCGTTCATTAGTGAATGGACCTACCACTCCCTCCCAACCTGGTTCCGGATTTTTCGACTTTTCGCCTCCTCGCCTTGTCTGTGCTGCCCTTGTTCCTAGCAGCCGGCATACAGCAGACACCATGTGAACCAAGCCTATATTATTATTCCACCTACCTCTCCTTTTTGACACCGGAACTATTACGTAGCCCGTACACGTTTTCTAACCTGCATATTTGCATGTATGCCTCCGGACGACCTTAAAGGCCTCCATCGAGCTCCAGGGACGTTAAGGTTTGTGCATTGCAGCGAGCCGAGAGGAACTAGTCAGTCCTCTAGAAGAAGACGAAGTAGTCGAGGACACAGGCAAAGGCGGTAAACCGGGAGCGGGATTTTTGCCTCCTCTCCCCCCTCCATGGCGGGACAGGACAAGACAAGATGGACAAGCCTAGCAAGCTAATGGTGGTCTGTGTGTCTGTTGCGTGTGCGTGCCAAATGCCACTGCCAACATGTTACATTGGTCGAAGAAAAGGGTCTTGAATGGTCCCAGCGTCTCTCTCCCCGATGGGGAATGAGCGGATGTAGGTCTCTGTTCTTACTATAATGTACACCGATACATCATCCGGAAAAAAAAGCTTGACAGGAATATTTTTTTCATTGTTCATCAGTCTTGTCTTTTTCCATGCTTTGCCGTCCTCTCGAGTCCCTGTGAGAATCTCTCATTCATGCGCAGTCTTTGGTTCCCAGTTCAGCCGGAATGTTTACCCTCCCCTCCAAGCCGCTCCCCTCCTATTTAGCAGCTCTTCTGGGCTCTGACGTCTGCCGATATCTTCCTTTCTAGGAGGCCGGACCTCCCTAAAGTGCTAAGCATAGTATTATCTCACGAGAGCTGATATCTTTCTTTCCTTTTTCCGATGGTTTCTCTCAAGCGATCCCGGACCTTTCCCATGTGGGAGGCGCTGAGCGAGAGTGCGCCAGCGGTCTCAAGTACGAACCCATACGATGGGAAGTGCGCAACAGCGCACGTGTCCGTTAAGCATCGAGGCACATACCTCGAGCGGAGGGGGGAAAAGTGCCCGATAGCATTGTACCTACATCCATTCATACTTCCGTACCTTGGAACGCTTACAGTGCGGAACTGGAGATGGTGGGATCTAGGATCCATCGACCTCGTATAAATGCAGTATATGTCATTCGTGCGGGAAGTGGCCGGAACAAGCGAACGCAGGGGAGCGAGAATTGCGAGCCGAAAAGCCGTGCGAAGGAAATATGAATGTCAGATGGAGGGTTGGTACGAATATACTACGTACGTACTTGGTAGGGTGTGGTACCCCAAACACGCGGGTACACAATAGTACTCCTCGTAGAGACTGAACGAACGAGCCCAAACGCCAAACGCCTTGATGTGGTACGAGTGGCGCCGTTTTGGGGCTTCCAGGGAATCCCGCCTGCTGGGTGACGGGCCGTGTTATCCGAACAAGGTCGTTTGGGCAAAATACTAATCCGCACGTCCTCCTAGGTACGGTAATAGTATGACGCCGTCCCATCCGCAGGAGGAAGTAGTAATACCTAGCGAATGTTTGGCGAGGCTCCATAAAGGCCAAGGCTGAACCATGTCAGGGTGAGGTGAGAAAAAGACGGACACCCCCAATCT